GCCAGAAAAGGAAGGAGACAACTCTCGGCCAAACTCTTAACCGGTGAGGAGCGTATAATCCGTACAGTACTGCACGGAAAAATTGACCAATTTATCCACTACAATTGCATTGCTCAAATGTGCTGTTTTTTGTACCATTTACTACTCAAAATATCAACGAGATGTTTATTTATATTTAAAGACATATTAAAGGCTTTAACACTTGTTTTCGATTCGCACTACTATTCATGATTGAACAAAACTTTTCGCAGGTACTGTATGAAAAAGTATGTTTAATGAACAAGAGTCGAAGAGTATAATGATCTTTTTTGTCCCTACCTACGATTTTGCCAGCGCGCATCCAAGACATTGAAAGGGGCACATCGCTAGAGAGAGTAAATGAAGTATAGCTTTTGATTTCTTATTCTCTCTTTATAACACATAAATATTCCCTGTAGTTTCATTTTCCCAATAGCACATCCTACATATCTACTTATCGAAACGTGTTGTCCCCGTCACGCCTACGTTTCCACATCTGATCTTTGTCTAGAGGTTTTCTTTTATTTATTTATGTTGCGTCCTCACCTGTCGGCATATTATTCGTATAACGCTTATTATTTATTATACGTAGAGCGTACAATTACTTCCCACTTATTCTCTTGTCCTTTATTATTCTTTTGTAGGCTGTCTAGACCAAGTTTTAACATCCCTTCTATTTTAACTGTCCCATATCATTCAAAATACTTCACTCACGTTCATCCGAGATCAGTTTTCTCATACCTTTACCCCATTTTGAAAGGCTGCTATTCAGAATTGACTGTACTTCATCTAGTAGACATACTTTGGACCACTTTTCATTACTCTTTCTCCACACCTCACACAAATATCTACATTGTAGGGCGAGGATTATTCAATCACAATTAATTGACATGACATCATCATTTATAGAGCTGACTTGCCTTGTATCGGAGAACACTTTATGTACGAGCGATTCCAAGACGAAAATACAAAAGATCGTCACTGAAGGAGATCGATTCCTGGACAGGTGCATAAGTCAAGCTGGATCGGAGATTCGAAACAGTTCGAGTCAATTTGTGGCGGAAACAAATAAGGCTGTGTCGAAAGGACACGCTATCCTCGATTCCCTTGACGATTGCATGCAAAAGACCGGTTTCCAACAGTTCTCTTGCTACAGGAAGGTCATGAATAACGACGTCGAACCACTTACCGGAACGCTTTTGGAAACCATAAGGTGAAATATCGTATTATGCAGTTGGGAAGGATCGCTTTGCTTTCGTAAAATAGAAAAAATAAGTTATGGGGGCGTCAGATTGAAAATCTAATTTAGAATAAAGGGGCTTTTTCTTTCTTCTCTGCATTGGGTTTCTATAGAACGTGAAATGGGATTGCTTTTAAAGACAATCTCTGCTATTTTAATCCTTTTTCTCGAAGTTCCTAAAGAGTTCAATAGAATTCTTGCTCTACCATTTTGATAAATAGGCAATGGGTTACTAACAACTATTAACTTTTATGCTACATTTACCATTGTGTGCCGAAAAAAACAACCTCTTTCTTATCACAACTCCATTTTAAACAATCAAAAGAATAATAATCTCCAATATTGAGCGGTATTGATAAAACAGTATTGTATGAAAATAAATAAATGTAAAACAAAAATACTGGTATGCAAGGGAAAAAAAGAGGGACAGAGCGAATATAAAGATGGTGGACGAAAGATCGAAGTTTAGTAATAATTTAATCGTGTTTTTAAGTTTAATAGTAATTAGTGTAAATAAATAGTTTTCGTCGTAAAAGTTAATTTGTTAAACCCACGAACATTACATTATGGTTATTTAAAAATTCGTCGTATTTTTTAGAGCGGATTTACCAGTTTTGTTAAGCGCGTTGTTTTCCGCAAATTTCATATATAATAAACGACATTTTATTTTATTTTTTCCCTATTTTAAGCAAAGTTAATTCATTATGAGTAAAAGCTTTATTATAGTCTGAAAAATCAATTAAAGCACTTGGTTAAAATTTCATTATGTTTGATTTAAAATCCGATAATTGTTTCGACAAGAACGGGCGCTACAAATTGTGTAGGAACAAAGTGAATCAAAAATTGCGCGTTTGCCTACCTTTGTTTTAATGTTTACAATGCGGAATACACGGTTTATTTAATCGAAAAAGTTTATATGCTGAAAATGCAACTATCGGTATTAATTTTTCAAACTAATTTAATTTTCCATTTCGGTTGCAGTAGGTATTTGTTTGCTACAAAAGTCATAAAAACTCAACATCCTGAATAAATAAATTATTTAATAAAAAATCGTTCATAATTAAAGGTGCACAATATTACAGTGGATGGCGAGGAATATTATTATATTGTTATTATATATTTTATTACATGCCCCCCTCGGGGTTTTTGCAATTTGCATCTTC